CCTTGTAAGGGGCGCCAATGACTATCTCTTCTTAGCTCTCCATCCTGATGCTGTGTTACGGGGCCAGCATACCTCATAATAACATATTTTCCCAACCTGAAGTCCAGGCCTCTAACTTTCACCCTACCTTCAGAGAGGAAAGCAGGCTTTTCTCTTTCTTGATTTAAAGCTGGCCTCCATTCTTGCCCCAGGATTGCTGACAGTAAGAACATTGTTAGTTTGACTATAGGAATCATTTCACTAGATAGATAGATAGATAGATAGATAGGTAGATAGATAGACATCAAAACATCATGTTGTACAATTAACATTCAGAAATGAATGGCATTTTTATACACCAATAATGAACTCTCAGAAAGAGAAATTAAAAAACAACAACATTTATCACTGCAATGGAAGAATTAACCATGTTCATTAATATGAAAGAATTAATATCATTAAAATGTCCATACTACCCAAAGCAATCTATAGATTCAATGCAATCCCTATTAAGATACCAATGGCATATTTCACAGATCTAGAACAAATAGTCCAAAAATTTATATGGAACCAAAAAAGACCCTGAATAGCCTCATAAGTCTTGAGAGAGAAGAACAAAGTTAGATGGATATCAATACTATAAAGCTATTATAACCAAAACAGCCTTGTACTAGCACAAGAACAGGCATATATATATATAAATGGAACAGAACAGAGAACCCAGAAATGAAACCATGCCATTATGGTCAATTGATATTTGACAAGAGCATACAATGGAATAAAGACAGTCTCTTCAATAAATGGTGTTAGGAAATTTGGACAAATACATGCAAGGAAGGAAGGAAGGAAGGAAGGAAGGAAGGAAGGAAGGAAGGAAAGAAGGATGGAAAGAAGGATGGAATGAAGGAAGGAAGGAAGGAAGGAAGGAAGGAAGGAAGGAAGGAAGGAAAGAAGGATGGAAAGAAGGATGGAATGAAGGAAGGAAGGAAGGAAGGAAGGAAGGAAGGAAGGAAGGAAGGAAGGAAAGAAGGAAGGAAGGAAAGAAGGAAGGAAAGAAGGAGGGAGGGGGAAAGGAAAGATGGAGGGAAGGAAGGAAAAGAAAAGAAGCTAGACCACCATCTTCTACCATACACAAGAATAAATTCAAAATAGATAAGAGACTTAAATGAAAGTTGTAAAACCATAAAACATAGGCAGTAAAATCTCAGACATCTCACATAGCAGTATTTTCACTGATACATCTTCTAGGGCAAGGGAAACAAAGGAAAAACGTAAACAAATGGGACTATATCAAACTAAAAAAGCTTCTCTACAAAAAAATACACTACCAACAAAATGAAAAGGAAACTCATTATATGGGAGAATATATTTGCCAATGATATGTATGATAAGGGGTTAATTTCCAAAATATATAAAGAACTTATACAACTAAACACCAGGAAGACAAACAATCCAATTTAAAAATGGGCAAAGGACCTGAATAGATACTTCTCCAAAGTGGACATACAGATGGCCAATAGACATATGAAAAAATGTTCAATGTCACTAATCATCAGAGAGATGCAAATTAAAATTACAATGAGTTATCACCTCAGCCTTGCAAGATTGGCTACTATCAATAAATCAACAAAAAACAAGTGCTGGCAAGGACGTGGAGAAAAGGGAACCTTAGTATACTGCTGGTGGGAATGCAGACTGATGTAGCCACTGTGGAAAACAATATGGAATTTCTTTAAAAATTAAAAATGAAACTGCCATTTGATCCAGTGATCCCATTTCAGGGAATATATCCTAAGAATCCTGAAACACCAATAAGAAAGAATACATATACCCCTATGGTCATAGTAGCATTATTTACAATAGCTAAGATATAGAAATAGCCCAAGTACCCATCAGTAGATGAATGGATTAAAAAAAGCTGTGGTACATTCATACAATGGAATACTGTGCAGTTGTAAAAATGAAGGAAGTTTTACCCTTTGTGAGAGCATGAATAGACCTGGAGGTTATTATGCTAAGTGAAATAAGCCAGTCAGAAAAGGACAAATATCACATGATCTCACTTATATGTGGAATCTAATGAACAAAATAAACTTATGAACAAAATAGATCCAAAAGCATGACAGATCTCAGATGAGAGAGGTGTAAGGGGTACAGGAAAAGATTAACCAAAGAACACATATGCATATATGCATAGCTCATGGATACCGACAATAATGTGGTGGAAGCCTGGGGTGGGATAGGGGATGGGTGGATCGGGGACATCTATAATACTGTCAACAATAGAAAAAAAAAAAACATACACACAAAAAAGAATCATCATGTTGTACATCTTAAATCTATATAATTTTTACTTTAAAAAAACTCAGTTTCTTGAGGGAGAATTCTTACCTTCATCCACAGAATGGATTGAGTCAAAACAGTAGTCAAAAGTACATTTAAGGAAATCTGGCCCAACCAGTGTGGCTCAGTGATTGAGCTTTGACCCAAGAACCAAGAGGTCACTGGTTCAACTCTGTGTCAGGGCACATGCTTGGGTTTGATCCCTATTAGAGATCATGCAGGAGCTGATCAATGATGCTCCTCTCTCACTGATGTTTCTCTCTCTCTATTCCTCTCTTTTCCTCTCTCTCTCAAAGAAAAAAAAATCAATAAAAACATATTTAAAAAAGATGTCTGGGACCTGCAGGGTTTGCGAATATCACATGCAGATGATGCAGAAGATGGGTGATGGGGTGGGGGCACACAGTGCAGGGCCAAGCCCAGTTCTATGCGTCTTCACAACTTTTCCTTCAGTGTGGTGGCTTGATTTCTCAAGATCTATGTATAAGTTCCCTCCCTCCTCCTCTTTCAAGAAAACAAAATGTATTTTTCAGAAAAAGTCTATTTAAATCCATATTTAGGGAAAATGTTATACTTAATGCAAGTGGAACACTACTGCTAGACAATTACTCAATTTATATCACTGAATAGAAACATATAACAAATGATTAATGTAAGTTTACTTTTTGTTGTGCACCTGCTGTAAGCTAGGGCCTTTTGTATCTCCATTTTGCAAAGAAAGGAACTGAGGGTCACATTGCTAATAAATGGCAAAGCAGGATTCACGATCAGGCCCACCTAACCAGCCAGTGTACTTAAACACTAAAGATTTCATGTACTGGGTAAAAACAACTTCATTGAAACCAGTGGTGAACTCACTATTTTCTACAAGGAAATTCATGTGAGAACACGTATGAGAAGTTTTCATAAAATGGCATCATTGTTATCAATCTGTACATGGATCTTTTTGAAATAAACACACTAATTAATTCAACAATGTTTCCTGTGTACCACAATCCAGGCATTATAGATATTATGGAAAATGCAAATATGACTGCCTATAGGAATTTATAATCTATCAAGAGAGAGGAAATAAAAGACAAACAGAATTTGATGAATACCACAGGAAAGGTGAAAAAAGTGTTAGGGGGTTTAAAAGTGGGAGAGGTTATTAAGTGCTGTGGGCAGTGGGAAGCATTATAGCAAACAATAGCAACTCTAAGAGAAATACAAATATAACATTAATATAAAATAAAAAAACACACATCTAATTAAGAATGTTAAAACCAAATAAGGAATTATTGTCAATGTATTGGGACTCCTCCAGCTGACACCTTCCCTACTTTAAAATTATTAATAAATTAAGTCCTATGAATTTAGATCCACTGCTGTAATCATGGCTACAAAGTGCTGTTTTTATAGGCAGATGTGCAGGTTATGCTCAAAATAACGTCCCCTCTGAGTGGATGGGAAGCATTTGGATGGTCACTGTCACGAGTAACACTATTTAGGATTAGCGTGGACACTTGTCAATGGTTCTCTTTTACTGTGTATCAGTATATTGATATCATTCTGCAGCCCTTATTAGATAGTGAACGACAAGAATAAATCAAGTGATAGTACACCAGCTGTTCACAAAGATACTGACTTTTTTTTTTTTTTTAAATCATGTCCTTTGAAATCTGGAGTTTGGAAGTGGCACAAAATGTGACTTTACTACAAGTTAGCTTCCACCACATGTGACTTTCTTTGGTTAAGTTTATGATTCAAAACAGACACTAACAATATCGCTATAAAAAAGCAGGTGAGGAAATCCCCAGAAGTCTAAGTGATTGAAACTTATTTCATATTGGACTACTGATCCCATCATGCAACGCTCCCATATCCCCACTGTGCGGGGTGGAGTCGTAAGAGGAGGTGGCAACCGCAGCGGTCCGTGCATTCTGGGGATTGTAGTCTCAGGCGCTGGCCTCTGTCGGGACGTCCACGTGGTGCGCTTGGCTGCAGCTGTGGTCAGGAGCTCCCTCGTTCGCTCCGCTGGGTCCTCCGGTGCCGGCTCTGGCGGGGGCAGCCGCCGCGGCAGAGCGGGATGGAGGGAGGGTCGGAGGGAGCCCGAGCCTTCGCGACGTTTTTGCGACAGCCGCGGCCGTGTTCCGAGAGTGCCCTCCCTCCCCCCCCTCTCTGAGGAGGCACCGGCTGTTGTGCGGAGCTGCCTTTCTGTGTGAGTGGATGGGAGAGTGAGTGAATGGGTGAGTGCGAGCCTGCGTGCGGGAGAGGCTGAGGCGTGAGTGCGCGTTCGTTGGAGGAGAGGAGGACCCGCAGCGGCCTCCGGCGGCTCCCCGCAGCGGGAGCAGGACGCGCGGCCGGAGAGAAGCCGGGGTACCGGCGCGGGAGCCAGCGGGGACAAGGGCGAGCAACCCTCTCCCCACCCCCAGCCCTCTCCCTCCCCGCTCGCTCTCTCTCCTGCGTCCGGGGAGCCTCCCCGTCCCCCACCCCGCCGGCCGCCGGCCCGCCGCCCCCTGGATGTCCCCCGCGCCCTCGCGGGGCCTCCTCCAGCTCCTGCCGCAGCAGCCGGGCCGGGGCCGCGGCCGCCGGGCGTAGAGCGGAGGGTTCCCGGGGCTGCGGCTGCCGGCCTCCCCGGCCCCCGCCCGCGCCCCCCGGCCCCCGACCCCAGCGCCCCGGCCGCGGAGGCTGTGACAATGGACTATGACTTTAAAGTGAAGCTGAGCAGCGAGCGGGAGCGGGTCGAGGACCTGTTTGAATACGAGGGCTGCAAAGTTGGCCGAGGCACTTACGGGCACGTCTACAAAGCCAAGAGGAAGGATGGGTGAGTGTGCGTGTCTGTCCGCGGTGTCCGCGGCCCGGCAGATACCCGCGGGGGAGCGGGGCGCTGGAGGCCGGCCCCCCACTTCCTCGGCACCCGCATCTGCCCCGCCGGCCGGCCAGGCTGGGGAGGAAGTGGTACGAGGGATCCAAACCCACAGAACCCTGAGTGCTGCCGCCTCCGGGCTCCACTTCGGTGGCGCATGGGGAAAAGGAGCCTCTGTTCCACGGGCTGTGTACTTTTCAAGGGTTTCGGTACTAGATTTTAAAAAAGAAATTCGGTATGAAACGTCAGCTTAAATCATTTATTCTTTTTTTTTGGGGGGGGCGGCGGGGGGGTGTCGATTTATTATGGTAAACTTCTGGGGATTTCCTCACCTGCTGCTGGAGTGACATCCACCAGTCTGAAAGGGAGGCTGGGATCCTTTCCTCTACCAGCTTGTGATTGATTTATTGTCAAATTTGGGCTTTATTTTGGGGAAAGGGAGCAGCAGGTACATCCCGTCTGGAGAGTTCCTCGTAGTGATCCTCTGAAACATAAATGTAGCAATTGCTGTTTAGATACCATTAGTGTGAGTTTGACACAGAACAATGGGGGTTTGGTGCAGGGTGGGTGAGTGGTGGGGAAAACGACAGGCACACATAGGGGTTACCTTGTTCGGCTGGTTCCCCCAAATTTAGCATCTAGCAATGAACTTTAAATAGTCTCTTTGCTTTAAATATTCTTCCCTATTAATAGCTTAATTAAGTCTATGATTGGTATTGCTCCCCGTTTAGTTTCTTAAACAGGCAAGTGAAGTGGTCGTTTTTTCCTTTGTCAGTAGATGAATGTCTTGTAATATTGACAAAAGAGAAGGCAATTCTTAGTTGAGGAGAAAATGTATTTAATGCCTTGTTTTCCTCTTGTATAAACGGATGTTTCTCTGTTGCCTTCTCGTTGCTGGAAAGATAATGTCAAAGCTTATTATATAATTTTTAGATTTTATTATAAACAAAGTAGCTTTACTTGATCATCTTTGTTAATTTGCTTAGCTGCTGTGTAACAATGAAAATAATTGCTTTTTTCCCCAACTTAGGTAAGTGGATATGTTTAGAACTATATAAGTACTAAATATGAAACATTTCATAAAGCTGAAGTAAGTTACCTGGGGGTGTGGAAGGGAAGCCATATTTATAACTACTTTAGTATTCTGGATATTGAAAAAGGAAGTGTATATTCAACATTTTTTTCCTTAGATTTACTGAGATATCTTTCTAAAAAACATAAAATGTATCCTAAGAGTCATAGAGTAATTCTAATTTTGGGATGTGCATTTCATTGTTTATATGCAACAGTAAAGCAGTACAGATATTTGCAAAAGATAGGAATTTAAAAACTTGAGGCCCTGGGTACTGCATGTATTGAAAAGTACTTCTTAGAATGAATAGTCTGGTGACATTTGAGGAATCAGTGTCTGGAGAGAATGTTGACTGTTTAATTATATTTCTCGTTGAAATATTACTTTGTAATAAAACATATATTTAAAAAATTATATTTGTTATTTTCCATACATTATTTTTCAAAAACCTTTAACGGTCTTGCCATCCCCCAATATAATAATTTTTTTTAGCATAATCATAATACCCCCAATCCCATGAGATTGAACACTTGTACATTTGACCAGTCTATCATTTGTTTTATAAAATTCTGGTGACTTTAAATTATTTTTAACCTCTCTGAGCAAAGCCAGTTCTGTTTTTATACGTTACCAATTTAAGCTAATAAAATCTGCAAATTTAATTAACTTTGATTTTATGTGTTATTTAAAAACTGTAATATCATATATTATCAAAAGGTACTATAAACCACATTTTATATCTTATGGTCAGGTTTTAATTTAGGCTGAAAATAATTTTAGAAGTATTGTACAATTTAAAAATAGCTGAATGTATAGTATATGAACATTTCCTAGTAATTTGTGATAGTCTAAAAGTAATTGCATTTTAGGAAAAGATAACTTTTTTATTTATAATTCTTCAGGATTGTTTTCCAGTAACCTTTAATGATTTTGTTTATAGGATGAGCTTTTTAAAAAATGGATCCAATGTCAGAGTTTTAAAATTACTTAAAACAGTGTTTGTTTTCTAGAAGGAATACTTTTTGGTTTAGCTTATTTTTTATAACCTCAATGGCAAAATATACTGCATTGTATTTATGAGGTCCTTTTGATCTTATGTCAGTGAAATGTAATTTTAGTCCTAGTAAAATAAAATTTGTAGTTTGTAGTTGTTAAATCTTTTATAGAAAGTTGACAATCAATAATTTTTTCTAGTGTTGATTTACTTTCAAATTAAATTACATATTCTGTGACTGAAATTTCAGAGTATTCTCAGAACCCAGACCTTTAAAAAGAGTCTTGAGATTTACAATAAAATGAAATGTTTTGTTTATACAAATTTGGTTATTGAAATGAATATTTAAATTTTGTGTTCTTTCATTTGTCTAGAGAGCACCATAGAACATGAATTATTAGAAAAAAATTAGAAAATACACAGCCTGTAAGGTCATTCCTTTGAGTTAAAGAATCAGCAACACTGTACTGCTAGTATACTGCACTTAAACTCAGCATTTTAGGAATGTGGTGCAGGAAGAAATACTTTATTTGAAGCATGATTATGTAAATACATAGAAAAGGGACTTTTTATAATTGTGTTGATTTCAAATTCTAATAGAGTTAAAAAACAAGTGCACCATTAATATTGGAAATAATTCACTCTTACTATTGTTATGAATGAGATAGTGTCCTTTGTTCTGAATGCCAAAAAGGTACTTTAGTGAGAAGCAGGGAGATTAATTTTCTGAGTCAATTTTACTTTTTCTTTGCAGAATTTAGGCAGCTATACTTATTTTGTTCTACAGAATGGAAGACTGTGAAGGCAAAATAACAATTTATGTTTTTAAATTCTGAACTCTGGACATTTTTAGAATTTAAAAATCAATTTGGAATAAGAGTTTGATTTCCAAAAAAGAAAAGCAAAAGGAGTTTTCTTCTTCGTTGTTTAATCCTCACCCAAGGATATGTTTATTGATTTTTGAGAGCAAGAGAAAGGGAGAGAGACAGAGAAACATCGATGTGTCATTGATGGGTTGCCACCTGTATGCACTCCAACAGGAATTCGAGCACGCAATGTGAGCATGTGCTACAACCAGGAATCGAACCCACACATACCTTTTTGGTATACAAGAGGATGCTCCAACCAACTGAGCCACCTGGCCGGGGCAAAGGGAGTTTTGTTTTTCTTTTAAAAAAAAAATATATATTTATTGATTTCTGAGAGGGAGAGAGAGGTAGAAACATCAGTGAGGAGAGAGAATCATTGCTTGGCTGCCTCCTGCATGCCCACACTGGGGACTGGGTCTGCAACCCAGGCATGTGCTCTGACCAGGAATGAATCATGACCCATGCTGGCCAGCCCAAAAGGAGTTTTTTTGAGTAGGGTTCTTAGACTTCTATAACCTATGTCCAAAAGAACAGATAAAAAATAATTGGGTGTATGTGGGTGTGTTTGTTTTAAATATATAGAAAACTTTTATAGAAAATGAGAGATTTTCATTAATCTCACATGCAGGCAGTGATAATAATAATAGCTAAGTTATTGTGTAAGTGTGAGGTCCTGGGCAGAGTCTTGTAAGGTCATCCTCTATTTAATCTTCACAAGTACCATATCAAGTCAGTTTTGTTTTTCTCTAATAGTTTTGCTGGTGAGGAAAATGAGGCTTAGGAAATTTTTCCAAGGTTACATGACTACTAAAGTTTCAGAGCCGGAATTAGAGGATTACAAGCAGCTCTTACTGTAAAGCCCATGCTCTTAACTATTATGCTTCATATAATCGATATTTTAGAATAAATATAAACATAGACATCAAGATTTGGTTTTTAGTGGGTCATTCTGAAAGTATGAATGCTTTATCCCAGCACTAGTCTTTTCAGTCTACTAGTATACTTGTTTTAGTAGATTTCTGAAAAGGCTGTGTTTTGTTTTTTTTAAAGTATGCATGTAGATATATGAGTGTGTATCATAGCACACATGTATATGTGTATGTCTACCAGACCCTTATAAAGCATGTTAAGATATGAAAGTTCTTCATTTAGTAAAAAGAACTCAAAATTGGAAAGACTGGAGACCTGAGTTTGCGTTTACATTCTATCTCTTGTTACCAATATGACGTGGGCAAGTCATTTGCTCCTGTAGACCTTGCTTTCTGGTAAGATTAGGGGGTTTCAGTTGATAATTTTTAGAATCTTTTCTAGTATTATGAATTAAGGAACTAAAAATTACCAATATGAAATGTAATACTTAATGCATGATTATGTAAAAACTATGAAAAGAAAAGTTTTACTTTAGAGCATGGCTTACCTCCATATTTCTTAGCCTCATGCTTTAATGTGGATTCTCATCAACTCCTAGAAAGAAGTTAGGAAGTTCACAAAGTCTTAACAGCTACTTTATCTAACATGTTTTATACTACCCTCACATTTCTTCATATTTATCTCTTAAGATGCTAGGAGTTACGGGCTAGTCCCTGTTCCCACCCTGTGACCCATTCATTAGGTGGCTAGCACAGGGCTCTTCTGATTCAATCTGCACTGGAGCTTTTATTCAGTTTTATTTTAGTTCCTTAACTATGAACTTGGTTGGAATCCTTTATTTCTCCAAAGGAATTTAATAGTTTTTCTTTGAATACTGTTGTCCCTGTATATAGACTCAGTTTAATTGAAATATTTCTTTAAATGTCAGAGTGCCAAATACAACATGTAATAATCCCCATCACTGGGGATTTTGTACGCCCAATAAGGAGTATTCCTTATACTTTTTAAAAAGCATGATGAAAGGGAAAAGCAGAGTAACTTTTACTTCTTACCTACTGTGAGTTGAATTTTTCTGCCTTAGGTATCAGTGCATTCAGATCTACTGTTTAGGTCAGCGGTCGCCAACCTTTCAGACCTCACGGACCACTAGTGG